TCAGGGGAGCTGGGCCGCCCTGGGCCGGTGGTGACTTGAATGTCTGGTTTTCTCTTCTCTATATACTCGGATGAAATGTAAGTCCTACTAGTAATAGGCTAGTCATGTGCATCTTTCCCCTCCCCCCTTCTTCCCCCACAGGCACTCATCCAAATTCTAAGGGACCTCAGGAGATTAGCAAGGAGGGGCGCAATGGACAGGGACATGTGCACCCAGGCTAACCCCTGAACCTGTCTCCAGGCCCCCTTTTCCTGCCCTGCTGGCGTGGCTCAGTAGTTGAGCCGTGGGCCTATGAACCAGGAGGGCACCTGCCTGGGTTGTGGTCTCAATCCTCAGAGTGGGGCGTACAGGAAGCAGGAGATCCATGATTCGATCTCATCATTGATGTTTCTATGAACAGAATCATCTATGGGCAGTCACCTGGGTGCCCTCTCCCTCTCCCTTCCTCTCTGAAATCAATAAAAATATTTGTTTTTAAAAAAGGAAAAGGCCCCCTTTTCCTCATTTCCCAGGGAGCTCAAGCAGCCCCGCCCGGGCTCATGTCTTTCCTACAGAACATTTACAGAGACCAGAGCAGCCCCGCCTGGGTGTCCCCTTGCTTCTTCTATGCTAAGCCTTCCTGCCTTACTGTCCCAGCTTTAATACACACACTCTCCCTCTGGCCCCTGTGGCTCAGGTGGTTGAGCGACCGGCAGGCGAGTGCACCACACCAGTAGGTCCTTGGGTTGGACTCCTATGGTGACATTTTTCCTGCAAGAAGTCAAGAACCCACACATCGCCTGCTGCCTTAGGCAGACCCGCCCAGGGCTGGGTCCCTGCTCGGTACCACTGCTGGCTATTTCAGTTTTTTATGAGCAGGCTTTACAGAAGCGGAGAGGAACAGGAGCAATCTTTCAGAGAAGCACAACTCTGGTGGTCCAAAGCAAACTTTCCCAGGGAGTGGGTCCCGCCCTCCTGCTCAGGTGCCCTAGACCGCAGCTGCACACAGGCACCAGACAACCAGTGAGTGAGTCAGGTATGGGCTCAGTTGCCAGGTCCTTGACCTAAGTCTCCAGAGCCCCACCTCCCCAAGAGTCAGAAATTTCAATATCTCGCCAACTCTTTCTGGGATTAAGCCCAAATCCAATTCATCTCATTAGCATAAAATAGAATATAAAAACTGTCTTTCCCTAAATGCTGTGGTCTCCACAACATGCATCAACCAGGAGAAGCCAGATGCAGGCCAGGAACCAGCAAGAGGGAGTCTGTACTCCTTATCTTCTCCGGTAAGGGCCTCCCATCACCCAAGGTACCAGGGTAAGGGTCTCCCACCACCCAACTCCACCAGCTGGGACCCCAACCCTCACACCTCTCTCCCCTGCAGCCCTCTTCTTCCTGCTGTTACCATTGGTGCATGGAGGACCCCAAACTTCCCAACGTGAGCCTGGTTGTGGGGGAGGGAAGCCTGACACTCCGGGTGCCTTGCAGCTCTGAGGGTGCTACTTCCACCTGTGCTCCTGCTCAGTAGAAATGCCAGCCTCAGGGAGGAGTTCTGACCCACCTCCCACCGGGGCCCTGGGGGGCCAGCCCTTGTGAGCATCCCCCCTCCCCATGGCCTTCCTCTTGTGCTGAATGTGGTGCAGGGCAGGGTGGAGGGAGTGCCCCTGGGGAGGGAGCAGAAATGGGGACTCGGGAGAAGGGAGTGATCTGCTGAGTCAAGAGCCAAAGTCAAGGGCCTCCTCCCACCACAGGCCCAGCGGTGACTCTTCTATTAAAACTCCCTTCAAGCAGCCCCACTCGTCACCCGCAGTCTGTGTGACACCCCCACGAAGCAGAAGAGACCCTTTTAGAAACAGAAAGAGTGGATCTCAGAGAGGTGAAGTTCATGCCCAAGGCCACACAGCAGGTGAAGGGAAGGATGGGCCTTGAACCCTGACTTGGCTGAGGAGTCCTCTGTCTTCTACTTTTCTAAGCAAACTCCGAACATGAGGTGCCATTAATTTCAGCCCAGGCAGGAGCCCAAGGACCAGGGAAGTGCAGTGAGGGGGTGAGGGATGGAAGGAATGTGGGATGAGTGAGGAGGAGGTGACCCAGCTCCTGACAGTGTGAGGCAAGAATGGAGGGGCAGAGACCAGGGTCTCTGAGCCCTTGAAGCTCCCCGTGCCACCCCTCCCATCTCCCCCCCTTCCCTGGCTTTGCTGCCTGAAGATGCTGACCTCGCCCTGGCCACTGGTTGGGGCACCTGCAGCAGGCAGCCCATCAATGTTTCTGTTTCTCTCTCACTTTGATGTTTCTCTCTCTCACCCTCCTCTCTCTAAAATAAAGTAAAATAAATAAATAAATAAATAAATGTGGGAAAAAGACTGATTTTTTTTTTAAGATGCTGACCTCCTGCCTGCCCTGCCCAATCTGCTCTCCCTCCAGT